AAAGCCCTGAGGTAGAAGAGGCTAGGATTTGTCCTGGGTGAGTAGTTCTCAAATTTGAAGATACATCAGGATGCCCTGAAGGCATATGAAAACACAGGGTTTCGGATTCAGTAGATCTGGGAAGGGCCTGAGAATTCACTAACAGGTTCCTAAGTGTTGATGCTGCTTCTGGTATGGGGACCACCTTGAGTGCCATCGCCCCAGAGCCAAAGGCCAGGCCAGCCTGCAGCTCTAAGTAGTATAACTCCAGCTGTGAGGAATGAGATTTGTGTGAAGAAAGTCGGACAGGTCATTACAATGACAGAATTATCTCTGGGATTCTGAATTGCATTTTACGATATCCAGAGGTTGATGGTTTGCCCCAAGTAACCAAAGCAGCAGAGGGAGGATGGATTTTCTCAAGCTTTTTAGTCCAGTGAGCACCGTATGTCTTTCTTCTGGGTAGATGACTGATTCTAGCCCACCACAAACAAAGGTCTAAAAATAAAACAGGATAATTTCCAGTGCCTTGACTGTTATGGTCCTCAGCCCAAATCCAAATGGGCTTCTCTGTTGCAGGCCCCTAAAAATCTTATTATGGATGAGCAGTCCTGAGGGACTTCATTACACTTATTCTATCTGAATTATTTCATTATCTCAGGTTTCAAGAAAACCTGTTTTTCCCCAAGCATGATTTACCTTTAAGCTTTGTATATTTTAGAAGACAATTAAACAAACACTTTGCAAATTGGTTTACTCTTATTGTAATATTGGCTTAAAAATTTAAACTATGGTATAATTTCATATATTTAAAAACTCCACCTCTAAAAGAATGAGCCTTGAATTTTATACTCTGTGTGTATGTGTCTGCTTTCTTACATTTGCTTCCTTTTTAGAGTGGGAGTTTCTGAGTTTAGTGCATGAAGTATTAAATTCCATTTTTTAGAAGTTTATAGAGAAGCAGTTCTTTAATAACCGGGTCTAATTTTCAACCAATTACAGATTTTAAGTTAGAAAAGGACCTTAGAAATTATCTAGTTCAGAAGTAGGCAAACTTTCTCTGTAAAAGCTGAATGATAAGTATTTTTGCTTCTGTAGGTGTCTTATTACGATGTAATAAAAATATATATTTTTTGGACTTCATTCTGGTTCCTGGCCAGAGCTCCTGAAATCTTTGTAATCTCCTAAGTACTAAAAGTGCTATGAACATCTCTTGTTCCTATATTTAGTCTTTAACCCTGGCTCTTGACAGAGTTCCCAAATTCCTCGGGGTGTCTTGGGTGAGAGGAGCATTATTCTAACAAGACAACTCTTGGTGGGCTTCTGGATAGCTTCAGGTTGGGGGCTGGTCAGCAGAAAGACATAACCATAATTAGAGGCTTGGAAATTTCAGCCTCATCCCCTCATCCTCCAGGGAGGAGAGAGAGGCTGGAGACTGAGTTAACGATTGATTTTGTCTTTATGATGATGTCTCCATAAAAATCTCTGAACTGTGGGGTTCGGAGGACTTCCAGGTTGCTGGACACATGGAGGTGCTGGGAAGAGGGTGTGTCTAGAGAAGGCATGGAAACTCTGTACCTTTCCTTCATACTTTGTCCTATGTATCTCTACCGTATGGCTATCCTTGTATCCTTTTATAATATACCAGCAATCTACTAAATACACTGTTTTCCTGAGATCTGTGAGCTGTTCCAACAAATGATCAAACCTGAGAATCTCCAGTTTATAGCCAGCCAGTCAGTATAGGCGACAACCTGGGTTTCCAATTAATGTCTGAAGTGGGAGCAGTCTTGTGGGACCGAGACCTTAACCTGTGGGATCTGTGCTAACTCCGATAGTTAGTGTCAGAATTGAGTTAAATTGTAGGACATCCAGTTGATAGCCACAGAAAGTTGGGGAAATGCTTGGTCTGGGGGAAAAAGACCCACACATCTGTGTCAGAAGTATCATCAGTTGAGTGTAGTCATAGAGGAAAACAAGTGGCCTTCCTTGCAGCAGGCCATATGGTCTCTGTTCTAACTATCAAACTCCAGTTTTAGTCCCAAACAGCAACAGAAAACACATAAATGAATGAATGTTGCTATATTCTAATAAAACTTTATTTACAAAAATAGGCGGTGGTCCAGATTTGGCCATAAAGCACCAACCCCTGATCCAGTTCATTTCATCAATTTATATGAGGCCTGAATTGATCAGTGACTGGCTCAGCTCACACAACTAGGAAATGGCGGGGCAAAGTCTGATACTCAGATCTGAATCCCAGACGAGTGTCTGTGCCACAAAACCACTTGGCACAGTAGGGCTACCTTCTACCCTTTGTTTGCATCAGATCAATTTATGCATCAAAGATTTTATCCCTCCAGCTGCCCCTGCTGCACACGCGGTATGAAGCCAGGGATTCCTAGTGTGTCCTTTGTGCTTTTTCAGTCACCTAGTTATAAAAATACCTCATCTCAAATGGCCGTTAGGAAGTTTATGTGCTTGTGAGAATAAAAGAACTGTACTTCTAAAAGGTGGAATTTTTTTTTTCATTTTCCATAGTTTGTTGGGCTAAATCTGACACTCTTCTAAAGAGGCCAGGGTTGACGGTTTGATTCTTAAATGGACACAGAAAAGAGCCGTTCCAAGGCCACAGATGGTGCAGGCCACTGACTGAGCATTTGTCACATGTGATCTCACAGGGCTCCAAGAGAAAGGGGGGTGACCCAGAGCAAAGGCTCCCTGGGAAAGAGAGAGACTCAGAGCTAACGTTTCTCCTGATTAGAAGCAATTCCTTTTCTTTATTTTCCATGAAGGACATGTGCATTTCATGGTTGATTTTAGAACGAAAACTGTCAACCGAACCTCTTTGCATCTTATGAACATTAAGCTTCTAGATGATCTGCAAACTAAGTGAAACACCTTGTATATTCTTTAGTAGTATCTTGAGTGAATTTATGTTGAAATCATCTGGGCCATCTTTGTCCTGCTTAATATATAGAGTTATTTATTATTTCATTATGTATCATCTTATTATGTCTTATTATTTAACCATTCTTGTTATGTCAGACTTGCCATTTACTCCCTGAATCTGTTACAAGGCACATCAGCCATAATTTTCAGTTGACTAGGAAAATCCTGCTGCCTTTCGGGAGGTGACAAAATTGATGCTTGGATTCAAGAATTCTTTTTTTAAAATTTTTTTTTATTGAAGTGTAGTTGATATACAATGTTAGTTTCAGATGCACAGCAAAGCGATTCAGTTATACATATACAGACACACACATATATATATTTTTCAGATTCTTTCCTATTATGTGTTACTATAAGAAATCAAATATATTTTCCTGTGCTATACAGTAGGTCCTTATTGTTTACCTATTTTTATGTATAGTAATGTGTATCTGTGAATCCTAAACTCCTTATTCCTCCCCAGCCCTTTCCCCTTTGATAGCCATAGTTTGTTTTCTATGTCTGTGAGTCTATTTTTGGTTTGTAAAGTAAGATTTGTATCAGTATTTTTTAGATACCACATATAAGTGATATCATATGACATCGGTCTTTCTCTGTCTGACTTATTTCACTTAACATGGTAATCTCTAGATCCATCCATGTTCCTACAAATAGCATTATTTCGTAAGAATTCTTGAGGCAGAGTGTTCAAACATTATGATAGATTTTTGGAGGTTCCAAATCAGAGACCTGTTCTGTCTGTTTACAGATACATTTTGAGGTTCTTGGGTTTAAGAAGGATAGAGACACTCTCAGGTGTGCATGTGTGGGTATGTTTGTGTGTGTATGTTGTGCTGTGTGTATATGTGTATGTTGGGGAGGCAGTTACTCTGAAAATACATACGGTCTGAAGCCACACCTGCAGATGTCAGGATCAGGGTCAGTAATCTGGTCCTGCCACTCTATTACTTTCTCCGTCAAGGTCCTCTCACTTTGTATTTTTTGCTGTTCTCTTTTCCCCTTGTTACCAGTTAGTCCTCTTCCCGATTGATTATTCCCTAGCTCAAATTAAATAGGAGCCACTCTTACTGTCTTTGCTAATGAGCATTACTCCATTGGTAGAGCTTTCCTGCTAGGATGCCTAATGTGTCACCAGGAAGCCTTTGGACGAGTCACCCTAGTACAGATGCCCACCTCAGTTCCGACTGGTGGCCCCTCCGTACACGGAATAGCCTGGTGCTGCTGCCCTGAGCAGGACGGCATCATTTAGGAGACAAACACCGGGCACTGAGTTGAATAACTTCTTAAACTTTTGTTGTATTTCTCTACTTTTTAAAAGAAATTCACACTTTTTTGTTGAAAAATATTTTAAATATGCAAACCTTACAGAAGAAAATAAAAAGCATAATCCACCTCCCACGTATAACAGCTCTTACTTTTGCCGACCCCTTTTAAGCCGTTATTTTATGCAGGGTTCCATATTGAGTTGAAAAATAATGAATGTAAAGAATAATGAATGTTTACATATTTTGTGTGTAACATTAGAGCATAGTTTTCTCTTGGGTCTGTAAATATCCTTCCAACTATGACTGTAACTAACTGCAATATATTATCCTAGCATAGGTATACTGTACTTACTTAACTGATGTTGGACATTTAGATGGTTTCATCTCTGCTTCTTAAAATTTGTCAGCATTTAAGATTACTTTGTTAAATTTCTAGAAGTAGGTTTTCAGGGTCGAAGAGAAAAGTTTTTGTTTTTAGTTTTCTTTACAGCTTTTCACATGTACTGTCAAATTGTTTTCTAAACATTTGCTCCAAGTTTTACTGTTACCAGCAGCCTATAAGAGCCTCTCACCACACTTCCACAGCATCAAATGACAGCATTTTAAAATGTTTTACTGTGTTTTTTTTTAAAAGATGCTTTAAGATGCTTTATTATCTATTTATCACTATTTATCATTGATTATTCTGCTGTTGTTACTGCAAGAAAGCAGTTAAGAGTCTAGCTATATCGAAATATGAAACACTTGCCTTTCAATTTTCACCATTTGAGATGCTAATCCAATGAATGTCCGTGTCTCCTCTAGCCTTCATACACTGAATTTGACATCAGTGGCAATGTCCTCGCTCTGATCTTCAATCAAGGCATGATCTGGTAGGCCAGCGGCGGGCAGTTTATCACTTGTAGAAAAACCTCCAAGATCATTATTGCATAGAGCACTGTAGCCTGGTGTCAGAGGAGTCCACAGTCTGTGTCTAACTCAACATTTGTCTTTGCGAAGTGAATGGCTATGAAGAGTTTACATTTTTTCCCGTATTTTCAATTTTAAGTCTCAAAGGCATCTGCCTGTTTTGCAGAGCACGCCTTCATCAAATACTGGGAGTCTATGTTCTGGCTCCTAGATTATTTGAAGGCTTTTTATAATTTTATATCCTTTGATGCTAGTATCTAACAGTGAAACATTCATAATCTCATTATCACGTGTTAAGAATGAAAGAAATTGCACAATACTGTAAATCAACTGTACTTAAATTTAAAAAAAAAAGAATGAAAGAAATTAATGTAGGGCCTTTCTGAGAAACTGATTTTATTTGTCATCACTATTGAATATATTTTAAATGGAATTTACAGCTACTTTAAAAAATATTATCTTGCCCAATCCAATAGTTCACAGAGATGAAATACATGTTATAGGAAGGTTTAGTTAGAAATAAGATCTTTGTTTTATAACTTGTTTCTTGGGGCCATTTGCACTTGAGAATTATTTCTTTTGATGTACAAAGGATTGTCATATCTTTTATGAAATGAAAGCATTTTCACTGCAAACTTTGACAGGTTAAGATGAGTTGATACAGCAGAAACCATTTTTGACTTCAGAAATTGAATCATAGCATGGGATTCATCTGGGAACAATGTGTCTTGAAAATCTGTCACTCTTAAGGAAGAACACCCCAACCCATAAACAGTTACAGCTGAGCCTCTTTATCCCACTGACACATGTCTAATATTGAGCCACCGACCACACCATTGTCCTAAGGACAAGTACTAGTTACTAGGCTCTGTTTTTGCACAAGCTTCATCTATTACTCAAGTCTTTCAACCTTAGCTGGCCTTTGCAAGTTATGGCTTATGTGTCCAGAAAGTCATTAAATGCATCCTTTCTCCTCAGGCAGGGAGGAAAGTCAAGGTGGCCCAACATGTGACTGTCAACAGGGATCGCTCCTGGATCTTTCATTTCCTGTAGGGGATTCTGCCGTCATGGCAGAAAATGGCTTACGCTGCTTTTGGAGTAATGAGAAACCACTGCCTTGTATCAGTTTTAAAACTCCCTGGCTCTTACACAGAGTGTCATAAATCCCTAAGGCCTGGTGGGCACCATTTGTGCAGGCATATGTTGCATGTCTATCCCTTGTTCTTTCATAGTGAAGACAACAGATTGGCCTAGAAATTTGTTTCCATTGTCAGCAGAGCTCTTGTAACAGTGTCCTGATTGATTTCACATGTAATTTTGCAACTATGTAGTCCACTCTTTTTCCTGTTGAAATTTTTAAATATCTAAAACATCTTCCCCAGTTCTCTCAGGGGCGGACCTATTATCAAAATCTCCACGGCATCATTACCCTATCCCTTTCCATGTATTCATCCTTCAGATGTTGGTCAAATCTTGCTTCCAGTTAGTTTGAAAAGGAGTTTAGAAAATGATTGTGTTTTCTGAATGTACAAAGATATTCACACACTTCCCAGTGTTCCAGAAGCAAAATAACTCTTATTCACCTTCAAGTTGACCCTTTGTACAAATGGTCTTTTCTCAACTCCCAGAAAGTTGGTGAGGGAGTAGAGATGTGGTGTGGTGGGGGAGGTGTGGGGCGTGGGTAACCCAAGTTAGTAGGCCCCCTTGTACCAGGCTGCTCACACACGGTAGTCCACTATTTTATGAGACATGAAGATCTGATTCCTGAGTTTGGCCATTTTCTACAGAAATGATGAAAATAGTAGGGAGATTTTGTGTTTAATTTTAGTGGTTTGTAAGTGGAGACATTCAGTAACTGCTTTAGGAGTTTCTGACTAGTGGAGGTTATGTACTTATTAAAGTCAAACATTTATAGATAAACTCCATTTTGTAATGAATTGTCTGATATGATCAGTAAAACTTTATATTACATGTGTGTTTTTAAACAGACAGTGTAGGTTTTGTCACCATATTTTTAAATGAGGAAAGCACATTGTATCTCTGCTGTATCATAGCAGGATGTAGAGGCAGCACAGTGAGAAAGAAGATGGGTTTGGACATTGTGCCAACGCTGTCTCCTGTATCTCCCTGCCAGTCTTGTCACTCTCCGCTACCTCATTTTCTCAGTTGATCAAATGTGAATAATTTACCTGACACATACCATGTCACTGGAGTAATAAGGAGAGCTAAATAAAAGCAGCTTTCATTTGCTTTGATCTTCTTGGAAGAAAAGCATTTTATAAGGCTAAGGTATTACAGTGATCTTTGACTGACAGATGGCGGGATCAGTTCTGGGTAAGGGACTTAGGGAGCTGAGCTGATTAGTGAGTCACATGCGAAGATAGGATGAGCCCTAAGATTCAGATACCACTGTGCCAGGATCCCTTTTTCTAGGTTAAGGTTCTTGAGTCATTTGTTCAAAATGCCTGTGTGATATTTATTGTGAAATTCTGAGATTCCTTTATCTGCAGATGCACTTACACATACGAGTGTACATATGTATGCCTACAGATAAATGATGCATGCCTATGTATAGGTACACATATATGTGGCTTTAGGCAAGTTTAGTTCTTGAATTATGTGCAACATTGTGTCTTAGGGTAGACGAGGTTGTGTGGCAATTAAATACAAATCTTAGTGGCTTAAGAAAGGAAATATTTATTTCTTGTGTAGTCCGTATGTCCGATGTGGGTTGGTAAAGGACTCTGCTCCTGTCAGTTACCCTTACTATGGAATCATGGACTATGACAGAGCAGGGTCCGTCTGGAACATCACTGGTCAGAGCAGCAGACAGAGACAAGAACAAAAACCCCCACAGCACTATTAAAGTTTCACCAATAGGGAGACACTTCATTTTTATCTCTATTTCACTGGCCAAAACAAATCACATGGCCAAGCCTGACTTTTAGAAGGGAGCAAGCATGATCATCTGCAAGCATATTACATTGCAGATATTGGCATTTGGGAACAGAATCTAGTGCTCGGAAATCCTGACCCCTCAGCTGGGACTTGTCACTCACTCACTTGCTCACGTTTCTGTGGCTCCAGGTCTTGCTGTCTTGTAACCAGGATACACAGTGTTGTTCCAAAGTTTTTCCTCACTTAAAAAAATTAATAAAGTTTATATCTTAGAGAAGTTTTAGGTTCCCAGCAAAATTGGGTGGAAAGTACAGAGTCCTCATACCCACTTCCCCGCCATGTGCGCGGCCTCTCCCACTGCTGACATCCTCCACCACAGTGTACATTTCTTGTAATCAATGAACCTATATGGACAAATCATTATCACCTGAAGTCCATACCATTAAAAAAAATTGCTTAACTTTCTACAAAGTCTCTGTTAAAATATGTATGTTAAAATATTTTTCAGATCTGTTGTATGGAATCTTATCATCAAGACAACCCAAAATGTATTCAAGATTCCACTTTTCAATGAAATGTTTGAATCTTGGTTGTACAAATTGAATTACAGCAGAAACTAATTTTTTCATCTAACTCAACTCCCCCATAATATACCAAATTTACATTGGATTGGTTAAAATAATTATTCTGCATAACCAGGAAATATAAATTGCTAACCCTAACTAGAATAGCTGAGGGCTTTATTATAACTGGGGCAGTTTAAAAGACAGGACTCTGCTTATACTTCTATAATAAGTATACATGTATCCTCTTTTTTAGTTTTGGGCTAATAAATTGCCACTAATGTGGCTTTATGGTGCTAATGTGTTAGCACCATGAAATAAAACTGAAATTCGTTTAGTTGAAGTAACCACTGAAGTCATCAAGTAAAAGTGACCTCACTGAAATAAACTAAACAAACTAAATTAAATGGGTGTGTTGAATTTTCATCACAAAAACACATAAGGCTTGTAATCAATTATCAACAAAACAGTCTTATTAGGCACAAATACACAATTCGCATCAGCTCTTAAACACCATAATAGCCATAAATAGAAAATAACATCAGAAAAATTTATTTTAACTTTTTCTCTTTCATGAAGCAAAAATGAGTTAGCCATGACAAAATAATCCATATGTGCAGTTTATTTGAATAGAATGGATGGTTTCAAGGGTCAATTATTTTAAAAAATTAAATTTTTAGATATATTAATCAATGATATGAATATTAGGGGAAAGTAAATTTATTTTAGAAGTAGCAGAGGAAAGTAAAACAAATGGAATATATTGTTTGCTCTGTTGTAGTTTAAATTTACCGATGACAAGCACATATGGATAGTTACCAGCGTAATTTCTATTGAAAGAATTGTATATACAGTACTTGCAATAGTGGGGAAGATGGTAAAATGTGTACAGGAGATGGAAATAGATTAGTTAAGTTCATTAGCGTAAAGAGGTTATGTGATTGAAAGTGTCAATACATTTTCTGCCTTTGGCAAATAAGCATGATGTAAAATAAACAGTGACTTTGTGAGGGAGTGAAGCTCCACGTTGAGCAGAGATCTGTTTTTCTTTCTAGGATGGGCTCCTTCTTCGCTCCCAGCCTCCCAGGCATCAACATCCTTCGGCTCCACACATCCATGTACTTCCAGTGCTGGGCTGTGATGTGCTGCAACGTTCCGGAGGCCAGGGTCTTCAAAGCTTCCAGATCAAATAACTTCTACCTGGGAATGCTCTTGCTCATCCTCTTCCTGTCCACCATGCCCGTCCTGTACATGATCGTATCCCTCCCACCATCTTTTGATTGTGGCCCCTTCAGGTTCCTGCCTTTGCAATTCCCTTTGGGCATAGTTTTCTTTCAGGTGTGGAGGTGGGAGTGGTCACTCATTGTATATAAAAGTTTTGTTTTTGTTTCTTTCCAACAATGACATTTTGGACTGTAGGACAGATCTTTTGGGTATTCAGGCTCCTTATATGACATGGAAATTCATCTATTTTTTCATTTGGCAATCATAAAAGGGAAAATAATTTAATTGCTCAAGGCTCTGCCTGGGTAAAATATATGCAATGAATCTGAGCTATTTCTATACGAGAAGATAGGAGCGAGCAAGTCTGATTACGCTAGTCTGGTTGTGCACGTTTTCCTGATGCTAGGTCATCACATTCAGACATTGGAAGCTATTGCTACTTCAGAGAGAGACACAAAGAGAGAAAGAAAAAAAGAGAGAGAGAAAAAAAAAGGAAAAGAAGGAAAGAAAAAGAGATTACTTCACAAACTACTCAGGAAAATGGGATCATTATTAGATCATAATAATTATAAAGAGGGTCACATAATTTATAATCCAAATTCTACATGCTAGTAAAAAATTAAGGATGTTCCTCATGTATACTCCTCAAATAACAAGGTTAAGTCACTCAAGTCAGTAGTAAAGAGTCAAGAAGGCTCTTTGGTCCAAACTAGAAATGTACTTTTCTACAGTTCTGTATGACAGGGTTCCTTCTGTGAAACTTATCAAGAGAGCAGTCTCCAGGATCTGGAGGATTGAGATTTTTAAAGGGCCTTAGACATGAATCTACCACAAGTCCCCCCTCCAAGAATCTCTGCATGTTGAGTCACTGATCAGCATGCATTTGAGTTATTTCTACTTTTCAGTAAGGAAATGTGAAAATGAAAAGCCATGTGAATGACAAGCATGATGCAATAATGGATGTATATAATTTCCTCTTTATGCTGTCAGACCCAAGTTATTAAAGGCAGAAGGTTCGTTGCCCACAGACTTAAGTATAAAAGAGGCATTTTCACTCTAATAATAGTCTGAGTCATTATTTCTTTACTGAAAAAGAAAAAAAGTGAACGTTAAGCTTGCTGATAGGGCAAAAACAGCTGAAGTTTTGTCCTCCATTTTCAGGAAGCTGAAGTTGACAAGTCCTGTTCCCCGGCCCCACCCTACTGGGCTGAAATAAATAATGCAGACAGTGACATCTGGAGGCTAAATATGAAATTGCAGTTTTGAAAAGAGTGATCGATTAAAATAAATTACCCACACAACTAAATATCCAGGATAAGTTTTAGATGTGCTTTTAACTTTTTAATTGGAAGTCATTCCTTCTCAGAAAAACTTACCAAAGGATCTTAGCTGTCTGCAAGGGAAGCCCCACAAGGTTAACATGGAGCTGGGTGGTGGTTATGCATTACTATTAAAAATATAATTGAGCTAGCATGTACAATGACTGCACATTTTAGCTTTTTGAGCCCCAGATCCTTTCCGCTCTTTAAATCACACTGAGTTACTACGATTTTAATGAATAAAAATTAACCCCTATCTAAGGCATAGTATCTGATTTTGACCAACTGTTTCCTAATTGGCAAGCTTAGGCAAATTTACAGCATGTATATCTCTACTTTGAGATCAAGGAAATTTAAGTATTTTTAGTAGAATATTGGGAAAGGGGTATCTCTGTCTTATTTAGATAGTCTATTTTTTCCTGTCAGTGTCCTCATTTTGGAGCAAAAGAATGCATACTTGGTTTATTCTTGGGGTTTTAAAGTTTAAAGGGTTGTTCTGCCTTGGTAGTGAGGTGAGAAAGCATGTATTTGTAGGAACCTCTTGGCTTGCCATCCTCAGAGACGCTGAGTTTGAGGTGGTTTGCCCAGCCTGCCTGGTGAAGGGTGTCTGACCCTGCTTGGCACCTAGGAAGGCACTAAACTGGTACACATGCATTTGAGGTAGGTTAGTGGGGACACCACAGTGAGGGTCAGTCACTCCCAGATACAGCTATGTTTTTAGGTAAGGTGGCTACAATACCTTAGGAGACCCATTCTGCAAAGCAATCTGATGAGCTATTCTAGCTTGTTCTTGTTCATAAGAACTGGCTAAGGTGGGTGAATTTCCCAGAAAATTATTCCAATAGGCTATTAAGTGCCTTTACCTTAACAGTTTGGCAATTTAAAAACTATTTCTTTGGTGTCCAGAGGAAGAAAATTCTTCTAATTGCTCCACCTGATTTCCTGACACTCACTGTTTCTCCCCCAGCCCCTCACTAATGATTCTGAACACTTTATAATTCTCTAGGTCCTCACACACCTCCCGGCTAACATTATGGTGATTGTATTTTTATGTATTTTCATCTTACTGCAAAGGTAATTTGTGTTTATCCCAGAAAACCTGGAAATTATAGAAACATTTTCACATGAAAATAAACACTATCCGTAACCCCAAAGACCTGAAATAATAATTCTTAATATTTCGGCATTTTGTATTCTGATCTTTTTGTGCAGATTTTACAAATAATTGCAATCATATAATATGTACAGGTTTATATTATATTGTGACGCTGCTGTTATACTAGTTTGCAATTATATTTTATGTGTCTATTTTTCATAATAGTGTAGCTGACTTCTAGAGGTTGGGAACAGAATACTTTCATCTCTGTAAGTCTAAACACAGTAGAGTGTTGGCCAATAATTTGAATTAATTTGTTCAATTAATTAATTGACTTATTTGAATCAATTAATTATTAGTGAAGAATGATGGCTTATTGCGCACTAAGCACAAGAGGAGATGTGAGGGTTCATTGGGCATCAATTCTGGTCTTGTGGACTTTTCAGTCTGACTGAAAAGACGGACATAGACTGTTCTGGTCTAGGGTGGATGGAGCTGTGCCCAGGGAGAGCTGTAGATTAAGTTCAGTAGCATTTCACTAGACTGTATAGTCACAACAGGCTGGAAAGGACTTCTGGGAATAAGGTGAAGTGGCACACTTTGATTAACCTGTCAGGAAAAGGGATACGGTCAGGATTTGTAGATGCTTCTATAGTTTGTATATAATAAAAGATCTGGACTCCTAGTGAGAGACCTGACCTGGGAAAGGCACCCAAGGATCCCCAGAGATGCTGACAGTTTCACATTCTTATGTACTGGATGCAAAGCAGACGTTTGTGGATAGGGATTATATTGTAAAATTCCAGTTCCCCCATTCTGACATTCATCAGCCACAGCACTAGAGGCCAGAGAAGGGAGGGTGGACTGTCTTATCATTTGCCTATTTCATTACTCTGGCTATATTCTATATGTCAAGGTGATGCATGGCCAGCTAGAATGGATGAAGAAAAAGAAACCTTAGTGGAATAAGTTGATATAATCTTAAATTGTTGGTAACCTTCATTTCCCCTTAGGTATCCTAGGTCTTGCTAATTAGTGTGTAGATTTATAATTTGTGAAGTAAATTTTATACCTCTTTAGTCCAGTGACTCCCGTCAAGATACTTGAAGTCACTCTAAGTCTATTAAAAGATACTATTAGATCAGGAGAAAAAATCTGATCTGGAACTTGTGGGTCAGGTTCATTTAGTAGTTCACAATGGTCAACATAAGGGTCCAAAAACCAAAGTGAAACCAAAATATTTTACTCAGTGTTGTGCCAACATTTATTCTCAAGATGCATACAACTTGGTGATAAACAGTCCAGTATCTTTTCTGAAAATTACATCTTTTCATAGTAGAGTCAATATGCTTCTATAGAAAAGTAACTTGGCATGATGGATATTACTTTATAATTCTGAATATTGTACACTAAGTTAAGACAGACCTCCTGCTCTCATTTCCCTAGTTTATAGGGACTGAGAACAAACTCACTAAGGTCCTTTGCTTTTTAGACTTGTTTTTTCTTCCTATTTTCTATTCATAGCAGTGGAACTGAGCTGGTACTCATTAGGGCCTGTTGAAAAGAAATACTGAGAAAGGATTCAGCATTCAGTATGGTGACCTAGTAATAGCCCTGATGAAAGAGGTCTGGTGGAAAATGAGATAGAAGCTATAGCATGGAAAGAGCTATTGGATTATTTGTGGATTTTATTTCATTAAGCTATTCCTTATGCTCATTTCCAAGGCTAATTAAAAAAAACCTGAGTACACTATTTATTCAGCCCAAAGAGAGTGTTCTGACTGAGGGGTAGACTTATGAGCTATTTATACAGTGTATTTTCATACATACATAATATATATATATTCTATATATTTGTTCCCAAGTAACCTGAATCTCAGAAATACTGCTTTTAAAAAATCTCCTCCTAGTTAATTTCCTAACTGCTTTGACTATGTGTTTATGGTGGCATAAAATTTCTCATGTCTTATTCATATGCTGACAATATGAGGTCAAAGTGTCAGGAGTTGTAACTAAAGATCAGATTTCTAACCTGAGAGAATACTTAGGCAGTGTATGAGAAAGATTTCTAGTTTTCTTGCTGTAACCATGGTTTTTACATATGTTTTAAATAAATTTCTCTCTCCCCTCCCCGCCCTTTTTTTTTTTTTTTTTCAGTGGCAAAAATAGGATGTTTGAAGTCATTGGAGAAACACTGGAGCAAGATTTCCCTAGCTGGATGGCAAAGATCTTGAGACAGCTGTCTAATCCTGGGCTGGTTATCGCTGTTGTTTTGGTTATGGCGTATGTGCTTTCCCACCTTAGAGGAAAAGCCTTGTCATGTTCTTCCTGCTCCTTTTAGATTTTAGCTTTTTCACCTCTCTCACTCTCCCCAAGGGTTGCGCTGTCACCTAACCAAATTCAGCACTGATTGCATGGTGGTGTGAGGCTAAAATTCATGAGCCGTACTCTGATTCTATTGCATGAAATTCACAGCCATCTGCATCTATCTTCGCTTGCATAGGATTATAAGATTTGTTCCCAAGTAACCAAAATAATTATCAGTAAACAGCTAAAGCAAGGGAAACATAAATGCTAAATCTAATCAGCACATTACGCCTCCTCCCCACCCCCCGGCCCCCACCTCTTGTTCCATAAGCAGATGGCTGTGAACACAGAAATGACGAGTCTCTTTTCAGATTCCCCTTGAGAGCCCCATAGGCTGTATTTCAGGGCTAACGGCTTAAGGGTCCTAAAAATCACCCTGTCCTTGTTCCTGGAAGGCCATCAATAACTGCGTGTCCATCATACTAGAATCAGAGGACCAGAAGGGTCTTAGAAAGGCCACTTAGTCTGTCCTTTCAAAATTGGAGATGCTATCCAAAGGGGAACTTGAGAGGAGGCTTTTGTTCCCATATTACTTTCATTGGTTTTTGACTCTTGGCCATTACAGATAAACTTACATTCTAAGCAGGGGGAAAAAAAAGCTTCCTACGGAAGAGCTACAAAAAGTGCCCCAGCCCTTCCTTTCAAACCCTAAGGGCCTCCTAAATAGAAAGTCTGGAACTGCTGCTGCTTTCAGTTAAGAAGGACACGTGTGAAGCCACCCTTATGGACACTTCAGTCGAACAAAGTGACACCAAGGGTTGGATTTGTTTAAATAAAGGTAAAACTAGGAAATCTCGGGGAGAGAACCTCCAGTGGTTTAAGTAAATGACCTGGGTTCTGGGCCAAGTTGTTACCATCATCTTAGTGATGGTTACGGTCACGATCCACATCAGTGAGGGCAGGTGTCAGCTTCAAGTTTATAAATTAAGAAACTGACTTAGAGGAGTGAAGTGATTTTTCCCGAGGTGAGAATGTAGCAAAATGGTAATAGTAGGGCTTTCACAGTAAGTCCAACCCTCACCCCTTTATGCCATCTTTGAGGGAGAGCTAATAGCCCGTAGGGATAATTAAATAGTAAAACAGGTTACTGTTATGTATTACAGAATCTTGATCATGGGGTGGCGTTAAGAATCTGATAGGAAATCTCTGGTGCAGGGGTGTTTAGAAAATGACCTGCTGGATGCAGCATGTTTCACCAGATGGCCTTGAAGTGATTGTCCTTCTCCATGTTTTTGTGACATAGCAGTTTCCAAGTGCATTTTAAGTATCATGAGCCTTTTAAGAGTCAAGGCCCTTTTGTGGAATAAAGAAGATCTTGTTTTAAAACACAGACACACAAAACAATGTCATATTTTATGACTACATTCTTAACTTATTTATTGAGAGACAGATTTATATTTAAGCGAAGGAGCAACATTGTTCTAATGCCTCTAATTAAAGATTTAATAAGCTACCCTTGGGAGTGTGGGAGAGGAATGAACACTCACTGCCTTTGTTCCAGGCAAGATTTATATATTAACTCATTTAATTTCCACAATAACCTTAAGAAGTGGGCTTCATTTATCATATTATTGAAAGCATGTGGAAGATCTGCCCCAAATCAAATGACTAATAAGTAAATTCAAACCCGTATCTTATTTCCCACCTCCTATTCCTCCAACTCATTTATAGCACCAAACACTGACTTCAGGCTGAATGGAAATGCTCAGGAGGACTGGAAACCACTTGTCAGAGATGGTCTGCACTCGGGGTTGGCACGCTTTTCCTTAGAGGGCCAGACAGTAGGTATTTTAGGCAAGAGGTAAAACTGAGAATATTATATAAGTACATATATAACTATTTAAAAATATAAAAACCAGTCTTAGTTCATGGATCATCCATAACAGGCTGGGAGTCAGACTTGCCCTGAAGACCAGTCTGCCAACCCCTGATAGAGACTGTTTAGAGGAAAACTGGCAAGATGTAAGGTCAAATAGCGTCCTGCAAGGTTGATTTTAATTCTGATATTCTGATTTAAAAGCTGAATTTCACTTTATTGTTGATTTGATTTTTCAAATACAGAAGTCTCATCTTCCACTTTATGGCGGTACAATTGGCTTGGCCTTTTATTACCTTTAATTAGAGAACGTTTACAAGCATTTTGAATTTCCCGAATGAATCATACTAAATTAGCTTGGATGGCTTTTGGGTAACTGAGTATAGAGTTTGAGTTAGTTCTCTGCAGGTGGTTTCCTTCCTTTGGAGACTAAAAAATGATTTATGAGGGATACTCATTGAAGTGCATCTCAAGGCAGAAAAAAGTGATGGATAGAGAATTACAGAACGGCAGGTGACTTGTGAGATCCTTGAGTTCTTTCTCCAAATCCAGGTACTTCGTGAAGAAAACCCTTATAATAAACACACACACACTCATTGAGCATCTACTTACATGCCAGGTATTACACCAGATGCTTTCATGTATGTAACTTCATTTAAACTCCTATCACTTGTTCAAGAAATAAACCCAGCGGAAACGATATCAGTAATTGTGTTTCCAGCAGCAGATGGCTCATAAGGGTTATAATCTGGCACGTTGGAGAGCAGAGGAAATGTGTTCGGTATCCAGTTATTTGCAATAAAGAGCAAAGCCAGTTACCTTTTTTTTTAAACTACATTTTTTCTTTGTTTGTTTTGCTTTAAGAGGAGATGAACATGTTTAATTTTGCAAAAGTGTTGGGCTGCAATTTGCTCTTTTTTAGAAATGCAAATGTCACTTAAAAGCCAAGAATATTCTTTTATGAAACATTTTCTTTTGAAGGAGGGAGACATGCAAATATTCAATGGATTAAAAAAAAAATCCATGTTAATTAACTATGACTATGAGGATTACAGTCTTGGTTGTAAAAGCCAAAGGAGGGAATTTAAAGTGGAAAGTCAGTTTCCTTTTTATTTCAACACATTTCCTAAGCATCAAGAGATTTTCTGTTCTCTTGAATGCCATTGGTATCAATTTAAAATGCTGTTTTCAATTATAATTTTAAAGTGATATTAATACATTTGCAAGAAGCTAAAATTAGGCAGTGAGGTATAGCAGATAGAAGCCTGGGGCCCAACTTCCCCAGTGGAATTCTAAGCGGGTGTCACCTCTCTGTACCTCAGTCTTTTATCTACAAAATAAAGGTTTAAAGTAGAGAATATCTTAAAGTCACTCCAGTGACAACATTCTACGATTTGATTCATGTAAATTTAAAAAGAATCTGGAGGGACTGAAAAATACCATAAATTTTATTTTCTTTTTTAAAATTTAGTTTGACCATCTATTATCTCAATGCTACTGCAAAGGGTCAGAAGGCAGCAAATCTGGATCTAAAAAAGAAAATGAAACAGGTAGGATACAACTTATTTCAGAGAAATGTTTGTCTTTATTAATGTTGAGTCGTTGAAAAACACCAGGAGATCTCATGTTCTTCTCTCTTTTTATTGTGTAGCAAGCTTTGGAGAACAAACTGCGAAACAAGAAAATGGCAGCTGCGCGAGCAGGTTGGAGCTACGTTGTGTTTGCATTTCCCCCCGTGCAATCAGTACACACTTCCTTTTTTTGTCTCCAAATGGGGCATTTGATGCAAAGGGGCACAGTTGCCCCGGCAGGGCACCCCATACTCTTTACTGTCCACCTTTTTAGCCCTTCTCAGGCATCATACCTGGGCAGTTTTCCAGTGGGAGAAATAAAAAAAGAAAAATTCAGGAATGTAAGTGTAGCAGTGGTGATAGAAAAGGGATCTTGCAAATTGGTGGAAAATGAAGAAAAATCCATATAATCATACAATAGCAGATACAGACGCAGAATCTCTCCTGCCTGTTTTGACCATTTTTATACATTGAAGGATACTCTGGGAAGATACTAATTGTATCCTCTGGGCTCATCTCTGTTGACTTCCCAGAGGCTTTTCTAATTCATTAACCTCTCTTACTTTTAACCTCCTTAAATTTTAAACTATTAGAATAAGGCACACTTCTGCTTCCCAAAATTCGTGATAGCTTTCCCTTCAAATGGAAAAGTGATGCCTAAGAAGTTCAAAGAAAATCTTTTCCTACTCTTCCTTCAATTCTAACTCTCACACTCTTTGTTAGTAGGGCTTTTTTACCCCCTGTAAGGAAAAGGAAAAAAAAAAAGTCAACCTAAATTAGTTTAAGTAGAAAACCCCCAGGAATTTATTAGTTCACACAAGTGAACAGGAGAGTGGTATGTAAGGCTTCTGGCCATGTTTTGCCCCTATGGTGTTAACCGCGGCATGTTTATCTTTGTTTATCTTTTTGTCTGGCTTATTTCACTTAGCACAATGCCCTCCACATTCATCCATATTGTCAAACATGGCAGTATTTCTTTTATAAGGCTGAATAATATTCTAGTGTGTGTGTGTGTGTGTGTGTGTATCTTCTTTATCCATTCATCCATAGATGGACACTTAGATTGTTTCCATATCTTGACTACTGTGAATAATGCTGCAGTGAACATAGGAGTACAGATTAATGATTTCACTTTTTTTGGATATAAATCCAGAAGTGGGATTGCTGGGTAGTATGGCAGTTCTATTTTCAATTTATTGGGGAATCTCCATACCATTTTGCAGTGGCTGTACCAATTTACATTTTCACTAACAGTGCACAAGAGTTCCTTTTTCTCTACATCCTCATCAGCACTTGCTATCTCGTCTTTTTGATAAGACATTCTAATATGCGTGAGGTGACACCTCATTGTGGTTTTGATTTGTGTTTTCCTGATGACTATTGATGTTGAGCACCTTTTTATGTACCTACTGGCCAAATGTGTCCTCTTTGGAAAAATGTCTATTCAAGTCCTTTGCCCATTCTGAAATTGGCTTAATTTTTTTGCTATTGATTTATACAAGTTCCTTATATACTTTAGATATTAGTCCCTTATCAGATATATAGTTTGCAAATATTTTCTCCCATTCTGTAGGTTGTCTGTTCATTTATGGTTTCCTTTGCTGTGTGGAAGCTTTTTAGTTTAATGTAGTCCCATTTGTTTATTTTTGCTTTTGCTGCCTTTGCTATTGGGGTCAAATTCAAAAATATCATTGCCAAGACAGATGTCAAGGAGCTTTCCCCCTGTGTTTTATTCTAGGAGCTTTATGCTTTAAGGTCTTAACATTCAAGTCTTTAATCATTTTGAGTTGATTTTTGTGTATAGTATAAGTTTCATTTTTTTGCATGTGGCTATCCAGTTTTCCCAACATTATTTATTGAAGAGATTATCAATTTCCCATTGTATCTTCTTAGTGCCTTGTCAAAAATTAACAGACCATATATGTGTGTGTTTATTTCTGGCCTATTCTGTTCCCTTGATCTTTATGTCTGTTTTTATGCAAATACCACACTGTTCTGATTATTAAAGCTTTGTAATGTGATTTGAAACAAGGAAGTGTGATTCCTCCAGCTTTGTTCTTCTTTCTCAAAATTGCTTTGGCTATTCAGGGACTTCTGTGGTTCTGAATGAATTTTAGGATTGCTATTTTCTATTACTGTGAAAAAATGCCATTGGAATTTTGATAGGGATTGCACTGAATTGTATTATTACTTTGGGTAGTATGGACATTTTTCACAATGCTAATTCTACTAGTCTTTAACACAGAATATCTTTCTATTAATGTCTTCTTCAATCATTATATACAGACCTCCTTTGTCTCTTGTTTCAGTTTTTGGCTTAAATTCTATTTTGTCTGATATAAATAGAGCTACCCCTGCTTTTGGTTCCGATTTGCATAAAATTTCTTTTCCCATCCCTTCACTTTCAGTTTATGTGTGTCCTACAAGTTGAAGTGAGTTCCTTGCGGGCAGCATATAGTTGGAAGCATGTATGTTGCACATAGCTGCAGTGCTTTTGTATTTGCTCTAGATTGGGACTATAACTTAGTATTATCCAATTAGCATTTAGAATGGTGAATGAAAGTTCTAACTTCCAAGATCTGAATTCTAGTTAAGGCATATTGTTATCTTTGTTTTAAATAATGGTATCATGCTATCATGAGCTATTTGTCTGATATTTTCCCATGATTTGTACTTTAAAATAGGTGTAACCATTGTGAAGACAGAGACTGTATCTTATAGTTATTTCCTAGGGACTTAATAGAGGACTTTATATATAACAGTCACTCAGCAAGTACCTACTAGATATCTACAGGGCAATGAGGTATTCTTTTATTAGAAAAATATAAAAGAAATCTATTTCTATATTAATTATATAAGCAGTGATGAATGAATGTTATAAGAGCCAAACTTTTATTCTTCCATCTTTAAAATTTGTGAAGATTTTGTAAAATAATACATAAATATTTGGAATATAAAAGCTAAATATTATGGCAACATGGAATGGAGCACATTTGGAAGATACAGATTTTAGGCCACCTCACTGAGAACCATTAAGCATACTGAAAGCTAAATTTTCATTGTCTTCTTTATCTTCTTTCTCTGTCTGTCTGTCTATTTGTTTATTTTCAACAGCTGCAGCTGCTGGTGGCCACTAATTCTCATAGATTTTCTGGAAGCCCAGAAGTACTCCTCACCTTGCTGTTCAAAAGCAGTGACTTATGCGGAGTCCCTGAGAACAAACGTGTGGAGTTGCTGTTTCCCTGTTCTAAACCTGATGGATTATCAAGGTCACACTGGTCAGTCAAGACATCACCAGTCCTAGTTAGGAAAGAAGGATCTCTGCCTTACTGCAGACTAAGAATTTGTTCCTGCACCACCCCTTTTTCCCTGAAGCCACTGTCCTGACATTTTCGTTAACAGACTGAGTTTAAAAGTGTGTGTGATCCAGCAGTACAGGTTACTGGCTTACTTGTTGGGTTAATCTACAAACCTTTTGCTCATATGGACTTCTATTTCAGACATTTCTTCTGCCTTGGTTTTCTCAGCCTGGGAACAGGAACAGTTCATCCTCTTTTATCTGTAAGTTCAGAAATATCTTCATAAAATTACTCATTAACTCACTTTTTAAAAAGTTAAAATCTTGTTTTCCCTTTTTACTCTGTCTCCCATCCATGGCCCCTACAAGTATACACCCCAAAACCTTTTTATGTGCTGCTGGATTCAGTATGAAGAGGAATGGGCTTTTTAGAAGAAAGATCCTAAGTGAATGAGGGGCCTGACCAGCAATGGGTTGAAGGTCTCTCACCATGAGGAGGTACATGGGGCTTAGACAATCCAAATCTTCATGAACTAAAAAAAAAAAAAAAAAAAAAAGACACACTGTAAGTGATTACTATCCTATCAAAGTCTGCTCATGACCTCCAATTATCATGTCTCCTGAACTTAGATTCTAATACTCTGTATTTTTTTTGTTAAGGTTAGGAAACCATGTTTTTATGGGGGGAGGGTTTAGTTTATAGATGTGTTTAAGCATTATTATTTGAAGTTTGAATTGATTTTGAATAGTAACAATGCCCTCAGCCAGCCTTGTTCAGTGACTTCAATTGTATCTTCCAACTCAGTGTCTTTCCAGAGCTAAGCCTATTTGCCTGCCATTCCCTGCCACTGACTGGCTGATTTTTATTACCCTGTCTGAGTTTCTCCTCTTCTACTGGCCACAGAATGAGCACCCTGTTCTCTGCCGATCCATGTGCTCACCAGGTCCATCAAACCAAATTCAGGATTATGTCCTCTGGTCAAATTTTCCTGGTTAGTCTCTATTCCCAGTCCTATCACTCTCTTGAAAGACTTCCTTTGGACTCTTGTGTCTTTAACTTAGAGTCTATTATTTTATTAATTTTCCTGTAATTTGTAATTTTTTATTGTTTCTTATGCGTGAATCATCTTTCCTATTCAGATTGTAAGCTCCCTAAGAGCAGGGATTATATCTTCTAACTCTTTTGTATGCCTAGTACAGTGCTGTGCACAGGTAGGTGCTGAATAAATGCTTGTTAATTAAATTGGATCAGTTTAACTTACAGCAGTAGCACTGTGAAACAAAAACTTCTGTTACCTGCAGGGAAATACTACTGTTATGTATGACACGGAATTATCTGTTGATATGCTTGAGTTTATTACCTCATTAGACTATAATGCAGATGAGTAAATAAAACTAGTGCTTATTTCTCCTTGGATCATTTCTGTACTGTGTAGTAATAGGTCATAAGTAATAAGGTTAGAGAATCGGTTTATATATGTTGCCAAGTTTACAATGTGGATGAGACTCCCTAGCTCTTGATTTGCTTCTCGAGGAAGATGATGAGAGATGACAGTCAGCTGTCCCCAAAGAACTTCATCTCTTAAAGGCAATGTACTTTTTGAACAAAACTTACGGTGTAAGTATTCGGACAGAATACTCTTAAGTTTCAATCTTTCTATAAATTAAAAAATAAGTTGGATTTTTATAGCATCTTCACACCCACTTAAGTTAAATTTTTTTAGAAATTCTCTAAATCTCCAGAGAGCTGCTGAAAATATCCCCATACTGCTACATGGACAAGCATCTGAAAGACTGCCACTTCCAAGCCCATTTTACAGCTATTCAGAGAGTAGCCTTGCACTGGGAGGGCTCCAGCTGCCATGGTTATTTCTGTATCATTACTTCCATATCTAATGATCAAAGCCATGGGAAAAATCGAGAAGTTGAACAACAACAACAGAAAGACTGCACCTTTTATTCTTTCTGAGAGGAATAAATTCTGACATACATATGAAAACTAAATTTACTCATCTGAAGAGCTTTACCATTCATTTGTTGAAATACTGAAAAACTGCATTGCAGCACACGAGAGTTATCTCTCTTGGCTTCTGGAGATACACATAGTTTAAACCATATCAAGAAATTTATATTAAACTTTGACCTGAACTGCGTTTTCTATCCTGATGGAGGGTCCCTACAACTTCCAGAGCCAGAGCCCATCATGGCTGAGTCTGCAAATGTACTAGTGACCCAGGTCTTACTATATATGGTGAGGCAGGTTCACTAGTTGCCTTTGGGGTTCAGCCTTTGCTGTCTTCCTTCCTCAGTGGATGAGTCAATAGGAAGAGGTTTTGTGTCAGTTCCCCTGCCTAATACTCCAGTGTCCTCTGTGGACTGGACCCTTGCCTTTACTTCAGTCAACTTGATTGGAACTAGACTATTGCAGTTCACTTTACCAGGCCCTTCCCAGAAGGGTATGTGCAAATCGTGGGGGAGTGGGCTTATTATAAACATTGGGACCATACTAGGTGCGTGACCACCAGGAACCACAGTGAGGCCAGTATCTCTTCATCTGTTTGCTAAATATTTATCAGACATTATGTATCAAACATTTATTAAACATGTATGTCTTAAGTATTACCTGCTCTCTAGATTTCCTCCCACCTTTTGCCCTACTTGCCATATCCATGGTTTCTAGCATCTTCCAGATACTAGATGCTAGAACCTGCCAAGTTGTTTTAGGGTTGAACAAAATTAAGGGCAAGACTGTCTCTTCCTCCTCAATGACGCAAATATTATAATACACTGTCAATCAGAAAAGAGATTTGCTTCCTCTTATTCTCTATTAATATCAAACAAAATCCAGATATTATCCTTACCTTTTTCAGCTCTCTTCCAAAGTGAGGATTTTTTGATGGATGAATAACCCTCGACCTCAGAATTGCCATCACATGCCTAGTCAATGGGATGCAAGCAAAGGAGTTTAGCCTACAATGGAAAACCAAGTTCTTGTGGGAAAACACAAGGGACTTTTAGCAGAGGGAATCCAGTGCCATGAGAGTAAGATCAAAGTCTGATGACTTGACGGCCTCCATTGAGTCAAATATATTGATCTGGGTAATATCCAGTTACAACTTTATTTTGCCTTGTTTAGTTTACAAAGGTTAAAAAAAAGTGTTTACACAATTCATTTGTAAAGAAATATATATCAAAAGTATAAGTAAGCAGGCTTCAAAAACAAGAGACCTAAAAATGGGACTGGCAGATGTTCTCAGCTGTCAATTCAGATACTCTTGAGTTTTTAGAAGACATACTGAGACCTAAGAATATTTAAAAAATAATAATAATAAAGTGTAGTCATAGCCTTTATCCACATCTACTTCCAGCAAGGAGGAAATAGCCTTATTTGATGGTGACAGGAGTTTTCAGGCCCATATAAGAGATTTCATTTTCTCAAAGTTCTCTTGCAATGGATTGCCTTGGATGGTCCAGACGCCTTTACCAGGATGGGTCTTGGTAACTTAGTAATTATAAATAATGGAACAATGTGTACATGAAATACTTGACCCCTTCTGGGAAATTAGATATAATATACATCTTCATACACATCAAAAAGTTTTCATACAAGTCCCTGGTTATTGAAAAACATAATAGTGGTACATGTTTCACAGCAAATTTAGAAATTTTTAATAGAATAAAAAAAGAAAAAGAACCCTTTAATTAAGTTCACTACTCAGAATAATTTCTGTTTATATTTTGATTTTTTTTTTCAGATTCATGCATGCAGACTCAAATATTTTGGATCACAAGATATATTTGATTTTTATCTTTCTTATTTAACATTTTCCTCTGTCATTAAAATTACTTCAGGACATTTTTAAAGGGCTACAATTTTTTAATATTAATACAACATAATTAGTTTAGTCTCTGTTGTACTTTTAGGTTGATTATTTAAAGGTTAAGTATTAACTTTAAATTTGGGTTCTTCCAAAACACATTTTTTTGTGCAAAAGCATTAATTTGTTAGCATAGACTTTTAAATCAGCACATACACATTTGAAGACAGTTTGAGTCAATTTACTGATACAATTATATTACTGTCTACTACCTTCCTAATTCAGAGCAATTAGCCTTCAATGTCACTATATTTTCTCTTGATACTGTCTTGCTTCTGGCTTTATAAAAGCTCTTTTTAGAAATTATCTCAATTTTTTTTGGAAGTTTGAAACTCAAGCTTAAGGAAAATATTTAAAATCATTGTTTGGAAGTCAAAAGGAGGGAATACACTCAAACTCACTCTATGAAGCCACGATCACCCTGATACCAAAACCAGACCAAAGACACTACCAAAAAAGAAAATTACAGGCCAATATCATTGATGAACATAGATGCAAAAATCCTCAACAAAATATTAGCAAACAGAATCCAAGAACAGGTAAAAAAGGTCATACACTATGATCAAACTTGATTCATCCCAAGGACAAAATGACACAATGATGGTTCAACATATGCAAATCAATCAACATGAAACACCACATCAACAAAAGAAAGGACAAAAATCACACGATCATTTCAAAAGATGCAAAAAAAGCAGTTGATAAAATTCAATACCCATTTATGATAAAAATGCTTACCAAAGTGGGTTCAGAAGGAACATATTTCAACATAATAAAAGCTACTTATGACAAACCCACAGCCAGCATAATTATCAATGGTGAAAAGTTGAAAGCCTTCCTGCTCAAATCTTAAACAGGACAAGGATGCCCAGTCTCACAACACAGGTTTGGAAGCCCTAGCCATAGCAGTCAGAAAAATAAATGAATAAATAAAGCTTATCCAAATTCAAAGAGAAGAGGTAAAACTGTCACTATATGCAGATGACACGATATTATATATAGAAAACTCTAAAGGCTCCACACAAAAACTACCCTAGAGCTGATAAAAGAACTCGACCAAGTAGCAGAATACAAGACTAACATACAGAAATCAGTGGCATTTCTTTACACTAACAATGGAATATAAGAAGAGGGAAATAAAGAAAGAATCTCTTTTCAAATTGCATCCAAAAGCATAAAATAATTAGGAATAAATCTGACCAAGGAGGTGAAAGACATACACAGAGAACTACAAAATAATGATTAAGGAAGTTAAAGATGACTTAAAGAAATGGAAAGATATCCCATGCTCTTGGGTTGGAAGAATTAATCTTGTTAAAATGACCATACTACCCAAAGCAATCTACAGATTCAATGTCATCCTTATCAAATCACCCAGGACATTTTTCACAGAACTAGAACAAATAATCCTAAAATTTATATGGAATCACAAAAGACCCAGAATCACCAAAGCAATACTGAAGAAAAAGAATGAAGCTGGAGGCATAACCCTCCCAGACTTCAGACAATACTACAGAGCCTCACTAATCAAAACAGCATGGTGATGATACAAAAACAGACATATGGATCAATGGAGCAGAACAGAGAGCTCAGAAATAAACCCACAGACCTACAGTCAATTAAACTTCAACAAAAAGGGCAAGATTATACAATGGAGAAAAGATGATGTTGGGAAAACTGGACAGCTGCATGTAAATCAATGAAGTTAGAACACTCCCTACACCATACACAAAAATAAATTCAAAATGGCTTAAACACTTATATTTAAGACAAGATACTATAAACCTAGAAGAAAACATAGGCAAAACATTCTCTGACATAAACCTTAGCAATGTTCTCCTAGGGCAGTCTACTGAGGCAATGGAAATAAAAACAAAAATAAACAAATGGGACCTAATTAAACAGAAGCTTTTGCACAGCAAGTAAGCAAACAAAATGACAACTTACAGAATGGGAGAAAATATTTGCAAATGATACAACTGACAAGGGCTTAATTTTCAGAATATATAAACAGCTCATACAACTTAATAAAAAAAAAAACAACCCAGTCCAAAAATGGGCAGAACCTAAACAAGCAATTCTCCAATGAAGACAGACAAATGTCCAAAAGACACATGAAAAAATCCTCAATATCGCTAATTATCAGAGAAATGCAAATCAAAACTATAATGAGGTATCACCTCACACAAGTCAGAATGGTAATCATTCAAAGGTCCACAAACGATAAATGCTGGAGAGGGTGTGGAGAAAAGGGAACCCTCCTACACTGTTGGTGGGAATGTAGTTTGGTGCAGCCATTATGGAAAAGTTTGGAGATTCCTCAAAAAACTAAAAATAGACTTACCATATGATCCAGCAATCCCACTCCTGGGCATATATCCAGAGGGAACCCTAATTCAAAAAGATACATGTACCTCAATGTTCACAGTAGCATTATATACAATAACCAAGACTTGGAAACAACCTAAATGTCCATCAACAGATGACTGAATAAGGAAGTTGTGGTATATTTATATAATAGAATACTACTCAGCCATAAAAAAGAATAAAATAATGCCATTTTCAACAACATGGATGGACCCGGAGATTGTCATTCTAAGTGAAGCCAGAAAGAGAAAGAAAAACACCATATGATACCACTTATATGTGGTATCTAAAAAAAAAAGATGTAAATGAATTTATTTACAAATCAGAAACAGGTTCAGAGACATAGAAAACAAACTCATAGTTACCAGAGGGGAAAGGGATAAATTGGGAATTCGAGATTTGCAGATACTATTATACATAAAATAGTTAAACAACTGTTTTCTACTGTATAGCACAGGGAACTATATTCAATATTTTGTAGTAACCTACAAGGAAAAAGATAGTGAAAAGGTATATATGTATATGTATGACTGAAACATTGTGCTGTACACCAGAAATTGACACATTGTAAACTGACTATACTTCAATTTAAAAAACAACAAAAAAAGAAATTGAGATGTGCTATAAATATAAAATACACATTGGTTGTGGTTGCCAAGGGGGTGGGGGGTGGGAAGGGATAGACTGGGATTTCAAAATGTAGAATAGATAAACAAGATTATACTGTATAGTACAGGGAAATAAATACAAGATCTTATGGTAGCTCACAGAGAAAAAAATGTGACAACGAATATATATATTTTCATGTATAACTGAAAAATTGTGCTGTACACTGGAATTTGACACATTGTAAAATTATAAATCAATAAAAATGTTATAAAAAATAAAATACACATTGGTTTTGAAGATTCTATGAAAAAGCTGATGTAAAATATAATTTTTTCATTTTGATTGAGTGTTAAAAGATTATTTTGCATATACAAGGTTAAATAAAATTACTAAAATTGCTTTTACTTGTTTTTCTTTAATGTGGCTACTTGGAAATTTTTAAATGACATATAGCTTGCACTTATGACTATATTCCATTTCTGTTGGACACCTGCTCTAAGATCTCTGAGTTTATGGAATCAATTTTAGTGAAGGCTTCAGTTAACTTGTACACAGAGCTGGGTTTCAGGACTGCTAGGACATTTCTAATAAGCTGACAGCTGGAGCCTCCTTCATCTGACTGCAGCAGCTGATCTGCACTGGGGTGGGAGGGACACTGCCTTGGAGGAAGTTGGGGTAAGGAATGGGAATAGAGTCGAGTCCACTGGAGAGACTGCAGACAGACTCAGAAGGGCCAGTTGGTGGAGGGAGGCTTCTGGGACAATGGGTACGTGTGATGCTCTGTTGGTGGTCAGGGAACACATCTAACACGTAGAAGAGAGACATTCTGCTCAGTGTGCATGGAGCATGACCCCACTGTGGCACTACCATCAACTGGAAGCTGGGGGAGCGTGGGAGATGGCCCATTTCTAAGGACTCTGGTGTCCTCCAGGCAGACATCAATGACAGGCACTTTTCAGGTATTGGTTTGAGGAACTGGAGAAGCAAAGTAAGAGAATGAAGAACCCCTGCCCCTTTACCATGTCAGAGGAAAAGGCTTGCTTCGCTTAGAAGGACAATCTCCGGGTACATCCATGTTGCTGCAAATGGCATTATTTTATTCTTTTTTTTTATGGCTGAGTGGTGTTCCATTGTATAAATATGCCACAACTTCCTTATCCAGTCATCTGTCTGTGGACAGTTGGGTTGTTTCCATGTCTTGGCTACTGTAAATAGTGCTGTTGTGGGGGAAAAAAAAAAAAAAGAGTACAGAGCAAGCTTTACAGGAAACAAGCCTCCCTGATCAGCTCATGGACTACGACCGACAAACAGGTGGCCTTTTTGCAGAGTATTAATGTTTATATCCCAAAACGTGAGTGCAACAGCTCTTGGGATCTTAATGTTAATAAATACTTCTTCTGGACCTAAGGCTGGTATTTTAAGTCCTGGGAAATTTTTCAGCCATGTAGCAACAACAACCTTTTAAAAATCAGTTTCTTGAAAGGAAGGACATGCCCGGTGAAGAAGGCTAGCACGCGTGGAGTGTCTTGTCTGGGTTGTCTGGGGGAGTTGAGGGGCAGGGAGGAGGGAGGAAGAAGGTGTTGACAAACATTGTCACTTTTGTGTTGTATTTTCTAGTTCTTTACAACCAGTGGGGTATAAATGGGGATCATAGAGATTCCTTTCTGGGAAACAGGGATAATATTCTTGAGTCAATGGCAAGTTTGAATGCTAAGTCATACCATTTCCTGAGCCTATAAGTAAAAAAAATTAAATTATCACTTTGTGACAAGCATTTGTGGTTAATTTTTTCTTAAACACATTGGTCACATGGCTTTTGACTGGTTTCTTAACTCTTCATATACATGCTGACCTGTGTTACACTCTAAAGGATTAATAGAAGAGATCTGGCCCTAGGAATGAAGACATTAGCTCTCTTCCTGATTTTCCAAGTTATTTTTAAATGCATTTTAGAGTTTAGAACTGAATCAAAAAATTAAAAAAAATAAATGTTACAAATCTATCAATCACAAGAGATACTGGATATTCTAAGTGAATCCAATAAGCCCTGTTGGGAGGGATCTTGGAGTCATGTTCAGGGTTGGAATGACTGCTGAGAAATGATCCCCACCTGCTAGTACACAGCCCAGCAAAGTGAATCGTTACCTTCTTGATGGTGAGTGATGGCCCTTGGCCTTCCTTGATAACTGGACTTCGGAGACTCAGACTCTCACTCATTTGTCCTTTTCTAATCTCCCTGGAGACAGCACGTGAGACTCTGTAGAAACCAGTCTTCAGGTGACGGAGAAACATTTGTGGGCAGTTAGTATCAGGCAGTCTACAGCACTGAACTTAACAGATCTCTTTCCATGAGGAGAAAACACACAATAAACCATTACAAAGCCAAACAAATGAACCAAATAAACGAAAGGGTAAATTAAAACAACAATAACGACGTTACCGAACCAGGTCCGTTTTGCCTGAGGCGCAGCAAGCCAAACCGCGGAGACACTGCGGTTTGCAGCAAAGAGGGGGTTTATTCACCGGGAAGCCAAGGGAGGGGCTGGGAGAACAAGTCTCAGATCCACCTCCCGGAAGGCAACGGGCTCAGAGCATGCTTACAGGGTAAAGAATAAAGAAGCAGGATGGTCTGAGGCGTGGGGAAAGGTGACTGGGAAAAAAGCCAGGAATGGCCATTCTGCGCAGGCGTAACCAGGCTACCCGCCCAGCGCGCTCCCAGGGCGGCGTGCTCAGCCCTCTGACGTCAGAAGGCGCATGCCCAGCGGAGGCCACGGCGGTCCTATCCGGTCTCAACCAGCTCAGCTTGAACTAGAGGCAGCTGACTCCAAGCTTCCGGAAAACAGCTCGGGAAAACACCTTGTTCAGGCTGCCGCTTGGAGGACTTGCTAGTCTTAAAAAGACCTCTGTTAGTGAAGGCAGGTGAAATGGATTTGACTCATTACCCACGGTTTCAACAACTTCTGCTGCTGAAAATGGCTAAGTAAAAGGTAACATTTAAGGTAAACGTGGTAGAGTGGCTGGGCGGGCAAGGTGGTCAGGGAAGCTTGTCTGAGAAGGTGGCATTGGAGGTGAGACATAACTAATGAGAAAGAAGACAAACAACAAGTTGATACTGTATAGCACAGGGGACTATATATGTTCAATACCTTGTGGTAACTTATGTGAAAGAATATGAAAAACGAATATATGTGTGCTGCTATATGACTGAAGCATTGTGCTGTACACTAGAAAGTGACATTTTAAACTGACTATACTTCATTAAAAATATATGTATGTAAAAAAGAGAGAATAAAATCAGTCCCCTAAAAACAAACAAAAAAAACCCTAATGAGAAAGGGACAAACAGAGGTGGTGCTTTGAATTTTTTCACTCACGTAAGACTTGGGGAGTGAGAGGGAGTTTCATAAAAAGTGTTTCAATTATGATGAATTAGATAGTTGGGAGCTTGACCATGATTTGCCTGTTTTAGAGAAACAAACATCACTTAAGAAATAATGTTGTAGAGTATAATCCCCACCTGCTCTACAAACCACTCTATTTAGCACTCTAAAAGCCCAGCATGATTGGATGGGTGTAAGAAATGATGAAAATGTTGAGGCTAAAAGGTACAGAACGCTTTTGGCCAAGGTGAACGAGCCAGGAGGTGACAAAGATGGGACGCTGAAGGATCTTTTATTTCATGATTTTTGCTCTGTCAATGACATGGTGACTTTTCGCTCCAAGCTTCCTGCTTTAACAGGGATTGCAAACCTAGAGGCTGACAGCGGCCACCAGAGCAACACAGTAAGTTAAGTTTTCTTGTGGGACCAGAATGAAGAGTTCTGGCCTATATTTAGGGAGCATGCACTACTCAGCTCTAGTTAACTATTGCAGACCCCAGGCTCCCAGATCTTCTGATTTTTAAAGAGATGCTGGAAACCCGGACTTTTATGCACATACCAAAATATTTTATATATTATTAATGAGCACAAATTAATTTACACACAAACACACACTCCATCTGTCCTCAGGATGCTGTCCAAAACCCATCAGTGTGCACTCTGATATTTCTGATATTATAAGTCCTTCAAATAAACAGCCCTCTTTTGTACATTCTGAAGTCATTTGTCAGGGTTTTCTTGGTCTTTTTCTGCTTTGAAAAAAAAAATGCATTTTCTCTCCTGGCTCATTAAGATATTACCTGCTGTTCCTGCACCAAGAACCTGGGATTTGGGGGGGGTCAGCTCTCATGTACTACCACAAGGGGGAGCTCAAACTTTTAAAAAATGCTTTACATATTAACACTGATTTGTGCAATAATGAAACTATTATCCTATGACATTTTAGGTTACCTCTTCCTGCTGAGATTGCCTACGTGGCTTGATTTTGTTAAGAACTGTATCACTAACTGTAAAGTCAGACAACGAACAAACTCCCCTAAAACCTAGAATAAAGAGTATCAGTCTAATTTAAAATTTTATTTTTTAATTTTATATAGTCAATTTATTTAATTACTGTTTTTACCATAATATGTGCTCAAGGCAGAGGTAAAAGAAACAAAAAGAATACAGATACCACTGACCCTATAGCTTACAATTCAAGTTTAAATTAAAAAAAAAAACAACCCTCAACAAAACAGGATTCTCCGAGACAAGAAATATGTTTTCATTTTGGTAAAGGAAAACAAATGGTTAATCCAATCCTAATAGGCAGGAAGTATCTAAAAATGCCTCTCCAGCTTAGAACTTAGTCTTTTCAAAGGTTTCCAAATTTATTTCCTCCATTTCCCTTGGAGTCTCCATGAACCTCTCTTCTAATACATCAATCCACACACCATTGCCCTAAACTGAAATGTGGTTTGTTTGCTGCTTCATTTCTCGGTCGCTTCTCCTGTGTCCTCCCCAGTAAAGCCTGGAGAATAAGAGTACTTCCCCCATGAGGCTTAGTGAGCTGTCACTGAGTTAAAGTCTGTGAAGTGTCCCATGCAGGGTCTGACATGTGGACTCCACATGTGCTAGGAATCTTTATGGCAGACATTTGCTATGGGTTGAAGTTGAAGTGACATCGTGTTGAAGTAACATTCCTGGGATTCCAACTGTGACATAGCTCACAGTTTTCAAGATGACTGTTTAATTTTTGTTTTAAATACCTAGCTAAGTCGTTAATATTTTACTGTCAATTACCTTAGCATAAAGAAAGTTTAAGAATTAGTTGGTGTCTAGCAGTGCTAACACAGGCTTTGACTTTGAAATACACTTCTAATCCTGGTAAATATTCTGATGAGCAGCACACAAACATACACAGATTTTGAATAACCGGATCCCAATTATATATGCAGTATAGTATGTATATATGGTTTTATATGTAGATGAGCAGGTAAATTTGCAATGAGAAAAGAAGACTGTTTAATCTGTTTTTCTTATATCTAATGAGTACTTCTGAGTCGCCTATTAACTTCTGCTGAGACAATCCTTACAATATCCTTGAAGAAATTTAAGTTTCCTATTAAAGCTGATTCTTCACTCTCCAGTTGGCTGAAGATTAAAAAAATAAAAACTGTGTGTAGTTATTTTATAAAAGGTTAGGTTATTTTATAAAAGGTTTATTAGGGTTGTGGCAGAGAATCTAATCTTCAATTACAACTTTTTCTTTAAGGGAAATTCTTTCACATGTAGAAAAGTGGCCACTCCCAAGTAGAAGCGTTCTCTGCTTCTCTGAACTGTGTCACTCATTAATTTTTTTTTAACATCTATTTATTATTAAGGGCCAATAATGTGCCAGACACTGTTCTAGTGAGGGCTTGCTTCCCGCTTTGAACACAAAAGAGACCACCATACTTACATTTTCTTGGTAAACAATCAAGGTCAAGTGAAAAGATAAATACTCAGAATAGGTAAATTAAGGCAGTTGACAGTTTCGATATCTTAATAGTTTAAAAGGAAACTAAGCCTAAGAGGCTTTTGAGTGAAGGCTCCTTTCTGTTCCCTTTGGCCTCGTCCCACCTCAGACCTGTGCTTGTGCTCGCTGCTGCCACCTGGTGGCCGTGGGCCGCTTCAGGCACCGCTACTTGGAGTGGGTGGGGGCCTTGTGAGTGACCTGCCGGCCTTTCCCTCTGTGACCTATCCGCTCCTGGCTTTCACCATTTCTGGGTGTAGATTATTATAGGTTTTCCAAATTCACCCAAAGCATTAATCTTTTGGATTCGAGAACAAAGAATCAGAATTCCCAGGAATTCTCTGGAATTCTTGAAATAATGTAATGATGTACTTACAAAATTTTTTTATTTGCATATTTTAAATTAGTAATGTGTGACCATAACAATAAAGAAAAGTCCTTTTATTTCATAGGGTTTTATTCAAGGTTCAGAGTTTTTTTTTATTATTATTATAAACCAATATATTGGAGCAAAATTATATATTTTAATAATAGAATGATCTCTGATACTAACACTTTATAATAGAAAACATTGAAAGAAGAGAATGTAAAGACAAAACAAATGTCAAATAAAAATTATTTTAAAATGTAAATATTATACCATATATGTTTAATGTTTAAAAGTTAAAATTTTTGAAATTTAAGATACACAAAACATTAGTTGCCCTATCTGATGGTCTTTGTTTCATGACAAAAAGTGCTCTCATTCCACATTAACATTTGTTCACTCATCCAAAACTATCTTCAAGTTGGGTGCTAGAATACATATTGCTTCCTGTAAGCTTATTTCCTTTTTAAGCAATTTTGGTATTTTTGTTGACATCAATATTGCTTTTGCTCATCCAGATTTTAGATCAGTTTCTGATTTCCCAATGGTGTATTCCTCAATAACATTCACAGTTCTTCTTGTATTTTCTCTCTTAAGGTATTTACAAAGAACTGTAGCTTAGAGCAAATATTCAGACACTGGAAAACACTAGAAAATACTGAGTAACATAAAATTAGAATCTGCTAGCAAGGTTCACAGTATTGCACAGAATCGTTAGTTGAAGTTGCAAATTTAAGGACTTAGTTTGCTTTTCTAATGTGTTAGCTCTTGGCATACTATTTATAGAATTTGTTTAAAGTATACTATGAGGATAAAATAATTGACATTCATATTATTTGCAAGAGTAAATCACTGTTAGCAGCAGACAGGGCCACGCACACCCGCTTACAACGACAACCACAGCAAGACTGAGTGATGGGATCACTCCTGCCTGTCTCCTCCGTGCTCCTCCAGGTTCCCAGAAATGTTGGTCTTAACCTTCAGTTACAAACGTCTTGCTTTCAAGTGGATACCACTGAACTCCTTAGAACCAGTAACGCCTCCATGTTGATTTTTAACCTCATAGAAAAATTAGTTTTTCCCTTTTCCTTGATTTCTCAACTGATTTTTTTTTGAAACTCTGGAAAACATAAAATTTTCAAGACATATGGGAAATTTCCACCTTGAAATAGCAGTAGAATTACCTTGGGTGCTGTTTCTACCATTTCTGCTATAACTTTCCCGTACTTCTCTTGTGCTATTAGCTTCCTTATAAATCCAAATTGTTGGCCTTTTGTCTTTCCAGGATTTGTCACAATTTCATATCTATTATAGTTCTTTTTGTTTTTCAGCATGGCTGAATATCCTTTAGTTTTCTTCCCCCCAGGAGTTTGGCGTGAGAGAGAAAGATTATACTCTCCTGAAATGAAAGTTTGGCATTTCCATTTCCGGACTTCATCACTGCAGTGATAAATAGATCCCCTTAATAAATACAGAGTCAGAAATGAAGAAGAGGCAGGATTCCCACTTGCTTGAGAGAGAAGTTGTTCTATATCAAGCTATACCGAATTCCTGTTGCCTGTGCTGAGAGGTAAGTAATTTGATCATCAGTGGTTTGATTCTTATTTTTTTACCTTTATTAAAATGAACTATTCTCACTGGAATAATTGCTTTAATATATTAATCAGTTCTTTCTGTTTAAATGCTATATTCCATTTTGTTGTGCTGTTGAAATGACAGGTTGTATGATTTGAGACAAATTTCCTCTAATGAGCAAATCTTGCTTCAAATCTGTTAACTGTTCACGCCTGCCCTCCTCATGGCCTGGACCACCCCAATTAACAGGTGATTGTCAAAATAGTCAACTGTGGCTTCAATCCTAATGCTCGTTATTATGCCCATTTCTGTTTTCATTTGTATGATGAAGGCCTTACAGGTAAAGGAGCAGAATTAGAGAGAAAGTCTCCCTCCAAGCCCCTGCACACCCACCATAGCAGTTTCTACCAGCCTCAGTTTATAGCAGGAGAAGGAGTTAATGAACTCCCTCATAGGAAAGGACATGGGCATCAGAAGTCTTGACCTTAGCAAGTTCATAGTAGAATTTCATACGTTTGAAACATGAGCGTTGCAAGCCATCAGTTTGTCGTGCTGCCTGCAACCCAGCATTTTAATCTGAGCCAGACAATACTGGTACAATGAGCATCAAACCATTCAATGCAAACTACGATATTTTAATCCTGTTTTATTAAAATTACAAATTAGTTGACTATGAGTGTGTATATGTCCATGAATAACTGAAAAATTGTGCTGAACACTGGAATTTGACACAACATTGTCAAATGACTATAACTCAATAAAAAATGTTAAAATAGAAAAAAAACAAATTAGAAAATTGGAACCAGTAACATGACAGTTGAGATAAAAATGGAGTTCTTTAAAGTTCTTTACTTAAATGGTAAATCCTAATTTATTTTTGCTCTTCAGTGAGGTGTGTAATTGGAAAGGACAAGAACAAATTTAAGAACATGTTCAGAAGTTTTATTATAGGGGGAATTTGTCACTTTTTGGATGTCTTGGTTCTGCGTGCCCTGCCTGTGTTTACCAGGGTTCTCCAGAGAAGCAGAACAGAACCAATAAGATGTATATGTGTGTGTATCTGTATCTACATATGCATGTGCAGTTATTTACTTACCATGAGGAATTGGCTCACGCGATTATGGAGGCTGATAAGCCCCAAGATCTCCAGTTGACAGGCTGGAGTCTGAGGAAGAGCCAGTCTAGTCTGAAGGCAGGAGAAGCTGATGTCCCAGCTCAAGGCAGTCAGGCAGGAATAGTGTCCATTACTTGTGGGAGGGTCAGCCTTTCTCTGGATTTCAGGCCTCTAATTGACTAGATGAGGCCAACTCACATTAGGAAGAACTGTCTGCTTTACTAAGTCTACAATGTAAATATTTATCTCATTCAGAAACATCCTCACAGATACCCCCAGAATACCCATGGCCCAGTCAAGTTGACACATAAAATTAACCATCACAGTACCATTGGGAATCTGTGCATTCAGTGGGAAGTACTTTTTCCCCTATAGAAGCCAAAGGGGCCACCTCTTCTTTGTCTCTACTCTTATGAAGCCAAAGCGTGGGCCTGTGACCTGAGCTCAGCCAGTCAGAGACTCTCTTGGACTCTCATGTGGGGGACACACTAAGACATGCCACCATGGGGGTCCATTGCAGGGAATGATACCAAATGTATACACCCTGACTGAAAATTTTTGTAATATTTTATTTTTCTCAGAGTAGAACATTCCTTACAACATATGTGTTTTACAAGCATGCATTCCATGCACAAGCAGAAGATTGACTATATGTCAGGAACAGAACCAACCAAAAGACCCAAGACTGCAACTATTTGGAATTTACCTTGAGATTTTTAATACAGATCAAAAAGAAGGAATGAAAAGGCACTATGAAATTTTCTTGCTTATAAGTTAGAGACCTCATAAGATTGTGAAAGTGAAATGAAATGAAATGAAATACATAATACTTAGACACATATCCATCACTTAGTATGTGTTTAATAAATGTTTGCTCGATGTTGGTGACAATGATGATGATGGTAGTGATGATGACTGTAATACATGGTGATGCTTAGTTTCAGGTGTAGTTGTGATTTGAAAGATCGGTACCTGGGCTAGGTTGGACTGTCCAGGATGGCATAGCTCTCATGTTGGTGGCGGTCATTGGTTGGGATGCTTCATAATGTTTTTAAGTCTCTCTGAGCCTCATTTCATTGTAATTTCAACTCAGTATTTCTTTTCCCTTTCTTTTTATTTTTTCAAAGGCTATTGCAATATCAACTTACATTTAACCACGTGTATAAAACTTGTAAAAAATAAGGGGGTCCCTGAAATTCATGCTTCCTATGACCTAAAAAGCTGAAACTAAAATTTGTTCCTGGATTAAACGTCACATTTTCCAAAATGTATATTGTTTGATTCCTACAACTGCATACGTAGTTAGAGGAAATAAAAATTTTTTAAATGTATCTAATGCTGATTTTTTAAGGACAATTTACAAAACCATAATTTGAGAAATTATTTTTACATAATTTGAGAAATAAGAAGGGAATGGAATTAACACTGTTACAATTTTGGCTATCTTCCTCCAGTTTTTAATCCATGTGTTTCATAGTGTCTTAATTGTTCCAAATGCTGCCTTTAAAATAAGCTTATGCCATCAGTATTTTTTTCATGTTGCTAGATCATATATAAAAATATTTTTAGCAGAGAGTTAATTTTCCATCTAATGAATAAACTGTAATTTACTTAACCAATTCCAAAGAAGTAGACATGCAAGTTGTTTGCAATTTTGTCGTTGTTTTGCATCTTTCTCGTTATCTCGTTAGGCCAGATCCGTATCAGGGCAGTCAAAGCTTATGACCATGTTTACATGTTTATAAGAGGTTGCTAACTTCAGTTCCAAAGAGTTGCAACAATTTGCTTTCCCATCAATAATAACTGAGCTGTAGTTTCTGCCCTCCCTTTCCAGCATTTCCAGTATTCACAAAATGTTACCCTCTCGATAATTCATTCACAATAGTTATTGAATACTTTACTGTGTCAGAGTCTGTCTATACAAAGGAGACCAATGCTTAAAGGAGTTTGTGATTAAGTAGGAGGGACAGATATTTAAAAAAATAAATACTTCCAGGTTAATTTTAAAAATTCAAAAAGAGAGATTTTCAGTCAAGATGGCACTAGATAATCATGATGACAAAGCCCCATCTGCTTCATCTATAGAAAAGTCACAGGTAAAATAAAAAAGTATAACATATAAAAGACTTGGCTCTATAAAAAGCCAAATGCAGCTGAAGCCCCAGGCCTGCTAGGCTCCTGGTCTCTGATAATTAAGAATCGATGGTGTTGGTGCTGGAAGAGACTAACGTGTTGACTTATCCTTCCCTAACCCCAATGAATAATACAGCCTTCTATCAGTGTGTGACATTTTACAGAGAGAGCCAGAGATGTTCCTAGAGACTTTAGCTTCACAACAGAAAAAATAGCCTTCTCCTTACGCTTTGTTTAATGTCTAATTCATTAAACTTAAAACCTTTGTGTTATAAACATTCACTTAAACATTAAATACCCACAATCTCTCTAAATATTTTAGTACTACTTACAGGGCTAATCTATCAATACTTAACAGAGTTCCATTGAAAATATCTAAAATATTTAAATGATTATGGATTTATTTAATTTTACTTTTCTAAATATTTAATGGAATCAAAACATGAAATATGAAATTCTCTTAAAGGCTTGAAACAATTTGAAGAGTAGAAAACCCACACATAAAATATCACACCATTACAAATATTACCGTAAAATTAAAATAGTTGTAAAGGTAAGGATGAAAACATGTAACTACATTACTAATGATTTCATTTTGTATTTATATTCTTGGTTTTGCTTTTCTTCTTCACTGTTCCAAGATTGCAGCAATTTTACAAGATGCTGATTTTTATACCTTTTTAAAAGTGGGAATAATCTTTCCAAACCCCGAAGTAAAAGAATACTCTCTCAGGCTTACCGAAGTCCAGGGTATATATCTTGATAAGCTGATTCTGAATTGAGTTGAAGAACCCAAGCAGTTCAAAGTGATGTGGAAAAAAGAAAACAAACAAACCTAAGCCATTTACTTAGGATAAGTCCTTTCTAGTAATGACTCTCCTCTGTTAGGTTATGAGAACTGAAGTCCATGAATTTTGTGGAATTTTATATATTTGAAATTCTAGAAATAATGTACACTTTAAAATGGACAATGATACTACTTCATTGTCCTTTCATTATGAGAACTTTTTGGCATCACTGGAAACTTACATATGTTTTTGTAAGTGTTTTGCTATTGCTAGTAGAGACATTGGGGTGTCAATTTCTAGAGTGAAATGAATGAAGCAGTGTGGGAGGAACAAAACTTTGTTTTAAGTTTCGAAATTTTGAGAAGCACTTTTTAAAAAATTCAAATTCATTTTAAGGAGTAGCTGTTTTGTGAAAACAGTATGATCCAGATGTACCGAGACTTTGGTCTTCTCTCTCTGTGGCTTGGAAAGAGCTGCTCTCCTAGAAATGCTGTTCCCCGTCAGCTCACAGTAGTATTAAAGACCAAAAAGCAGATTCTGGAGGCATCTGGGTGGTGGGGATAGGAAAACAGATTAATTTAACCTCTTTGAAGGGTTACACTCAGGTAACTAACTCTATGCTAAGTAACTTCTGGGAACAGCAACCCCTTCGAAGGAATAAATGAAGGCAGTGGGTTCACCAGACCCCGGGATCATGGAGAAGGGCCTGCCCCAGCCACTGTTGAAACCACAAATGAAGCAACACCTAAAACAGGTGCTGGGACCTGAGAGGCTGATATTCATCACGTGATGAGGCTTTTTGCTGCAGGTGCCAAAGTGCTGAAAGATGCGGGTAGAGTGCTGGCTCTGCTGCTGCTGGAAATGCCAACAGAATCTAGAACAGGAAGCAAATCACTTTTCCCCATCCCTGCCTTCCAAACTTCTGTCTCTACTTCCCATTAGTAGACACTAAACCAGAAG